ATTCTCAACATCTTTGAGTCTTGATTAATTTTTAAGTGGGAATTTTGAGGATGTGAAGACAAAAACACATAGGAAAAAATTTAAAAATCATTTAGTGTTAACATTTTCATCCATTTAAAATATTGTGCCATAATTGTTTTGGCAGTATTATAAGGTGAAATAAAATTTGGGATTCATAATAGTATCAGTTCTTTTAAATATGGAAAGTCTCATTTTAACGCTGAACTTGCATTGCTTTCTGAATTTATATGGTTTCTCATTTTTCTGATAAGAAAAGAAAAAATGTATAGAAGTTTTTGTCCCTTTAAAAATTTTTTGTTTTTTAAAAATGTGACCAGGAAAAAAGAAAATGTGATCAGGATTCAACTAATTTGTATCAAATCCCAGTAAATGTGTTCTTTTGGTTTCAAGATACCAAGCACGTGTGTATGATACTGTCTACAGAAATACTCTCTCAAACCCAGTTCATTGAAGTGAATCTGAAGTGCAAAAGCAATTCTTCCGGTGTTCTCCATCTAGCAGTAGTAGGAAGTCTTCCAGAGGTTAAAAAACTGGAGATTAGCAACATATCAACTTTCAGGTGGCCTCTCCTAAACACTTGTAATTCACTTACTCTCCGGGAAATCATTATTCCAAAGGTTTGATTCACTTGTAGCCCCACTTGGATCTTAAATTGCACTTCGAAGCACTCCTAACCTTCATCCATTTTCAGAACTGCCATTAGAAGTGATGGGAATTTGGCACAAAAATCAATGAAAGGATATGATATGATTTCGTTCTAATTTTTCCTTCTTTGAGATCCATCTCAAGTACAGTCTGTGAAATCTATTTTTTAAAGGTATTTTTCCATCTTGCTATCATTTCAACTAAATTGAGTTCATGACCTTGGGATATGTATTCACATAGCTTTTCAGAAAAGAAAAGAGATTTGTTGTTGCTATTGTTAATTTCTACCTGACATCATTTCAAAATCTTAATTAATTCATTTTCCCACTGATCCCCTCATCAGCTTTTTAATCTCTCAAAAATATGGGGCTAAATTACTATTGTCACCTAAAAATGGTTGTATTAGTTATGTTTGGTTATTATTAATACCTACTAATTATACACTTGAATGTATTTGATTTTCTTTTTCCTAGTGAGTGATAGGATTTTATGGCACTTATTTTTATCAAGAGAAGGATAGTACTACTTATTGGTAAAGAAACAAATTTAAAAAGTAACACTTTATTAACTAAAGTACTTAATTTTGCACGCAATATTTTCATCTCTTCCCCCAATAACTAAAAATTTTCATATGAACTGGATTCAAATTCTAAGCACCCTGTGTACACAGCTGTTAGAAGTTTCAAAATTTGTCTTTCTAGTTTAACAAATCCATTGATACTGTAAACATTTGTATTGTAACAAAATAACTTTATTTGTTACAGATCATCTCTCTTGATTTGTTAATGGGGCAAAACATTCTCCATTAATATGAATAAATTACAGTATGTGTCCTTCTTGTCTATCACAAGAAGTAAATTAGTTGATTAAGAAAGTCATTGAAGGAGTCATAACATCCCATTTTGACTCCCTGAAAATATCTTAGCCTAACATACACGCTTATTAAATGAAAAAAAAATGCCTGCATTTATTGAAGAATTAGTCTTTCAATTTCCACCATTGTTTTTGAGGTTAATCTTGCCCTTCTGGCCTTTCTTTACCATTTTAGTAATGGTTGTACTAGCTGCGGAGGGGGCAGTAAAAGTAACGATGATGGTGATGTTGATAATAACGAAGATATAGTTTAGTAGCTGTTGTATTGCCATTTATTGAATAATTCGATGCAGCAGGAAATTTGCCAAGCAATTTCTCGACCATCATAAACCTGTAAGTCAAGTCTCACTAACCTCATTCCTCAAATATAGAGGTTTTTCACTCAGAGGTGAGGAGCAGTAGTGACCTTCTGGCCAGGAAGTTAATCTCCATCTCTCTCTCCTGTCTATAAAACCTGTGGCAGACCTGTTTTGCTTTCCTGTTTCCATGAAAAATCAAGACCTAACTGAAAGGAAAAATTGTACAATGTAGAGAAAAAGGTTGAAAGATTGAAAGGAACACTTTAATTCCACTCTGAGGCCTTCAAGGCGTACAAACAATTCCCTTCAGTTTGAAAATACTAAAACCTTTCAGCTATTATTTAGCACATTCTAAAAGTAACTACAAGTAATCTTTCCATTTAGGTGAAATTTATTTTGTGTGAAGTGTCAAAAGAGTATGAAAATTTGGAGTTTGTTTTTTTAGTTTGAAAATGTAATTTAGAGGTAAAAACTAAAATTGAAAATGGTTAATTGTTGGGGTGCCTGGGTGGCTCAGTCTGTTAAACATCAGACTCTTGATTTTGGCTCAGCTCATGATCTCAGGGCTGTGAAATCGAGCCCCATCCAGCTCTGCACTGGGCGTGGAACCTGCCTTAGATTCTCTCTCGGGGCGCCTGGGTGGCTCAGTCGTTAAGCGTCTGCCTTCGGCTCAGGTCATGATCCCAGGGTCCTGGGATCGAGCCCCGTATCGGGCTCCCTGCTCGGCGGGAAGCCTGCTTCTCCCTCTCCCACTCCCCCTGCTTGTGTTTCCTCTCTTGCTGTGTCTTTCTCTGTCAAATAAATAAAATCTTAAAAAAAAAAAAAGATTTTCTCTCTCCCTCTCCCACTGTCCCTGAACCCCCCTTAAAAAAAAAAGGAGAAAAAAGAAAATAGTTAATTTTGTATATTAGAAGATGACTAATAAAAATTTCCTTTTGTGATATGCAATTCTTAAATTATTATCGATAATGTGGCCCGTAATTAAAATATATGAAATATGTTGTTAAGCTGTGATTCTGGCAAAAATATTGGAATATTTTTAGAATAGTCCAATTTGGAAAAATAGAGATTTTTTTTCTCTTTAGCATTCAATATATACATATCTGTGTAATCTGAGATTGAAAATGCTATGAGAGTCACTTGAATATTCCGGTTGGTTTTGAATTGTTCTTAAATGTAACATGATACAGTTGTTTCAGATGATTTCTAAGTTACCCCTAGAGTTAACTTTCTATGAGTCCAGGATTGTCAATATAATTAGATGTGCCTAGTCTCCATTGAGAGGAGCTTGCTAGTCATACAAAGGCAGCAACTTTGCAGAAATAAAATGAAAGAGTTACAAAATTCTTTAAGCGGTTGCTCTGTATATAAAAACACCTCAAAAAGAAAGAGGTAAGGGTGCCTGGGTGGCACAGTCAGTTAAGCATCCAACTCTTGGTTTCAGCTCAGGTGGTAATCTCAGGGTCATGAGATCGAGCCTTGTGTCAGGCACCACACTCAGTGTGGAGTCTGCTCAAGTTTCTCTCTCCCTCTCCCTCTGCCCCTTCCTCACCCCAGCTTGCACACTCTCTCTCTCTCAAATAAGTAAAATAAATCTTAAAAAAAAAAAAGAAAAGAAAGAGGTAAACAGTTGAGGGGAAAAATTGCAACTTCAGATAAAATTTTACTCTCGTGTGTGTTTGTGTATATACATACATTAATACACTCTTGCAATGAGTATAAATGTGTAAATATGTATAAATACATATACATGCATACACATAGATATTTATATATACATATACATATGTAAAAATATATACATACATATGATTGGGCACATGTATATGTGTATACAGTTTTTTAAACCACCAAATGGAGGTGGTTTATAGAAAAGCAAACAAAAAATTTCACAAGATAAAATATGTAAAGGGAAAAAAAACATACAAAAAGCTCATCTCTAGTAATCAAAGAATTACAAATAAAGCAGAATTTTCTTCCTACGTGATTACAAATAGTTTGAACACTGGTAACACCCAGTGTTGCCAAGGATAAGAAAACAGAGACTCCTGGCATGTAAAAATTTCAAAAAATACTAATTTTCAAATATATATATATATATATATACTCTCATAAGATGTAAAAGTGATGCTATTTGTCCCAGAAATTCTATATTTAGGAAAGTCCCCTAACATAAAAATTATTAATGTGCTGAGAAAAATTCTGCCATGTCCCAAGGTAGAAAGCTTTTTGACTAAATTATGCATAGCCATGAAGTGACATGCCATGCAGCCACTTAAGTGGTATTTTATGGAACACACATCCGGCAAGAGAACATGCTTATAATATATTGCCTAGTACCAAACATAACAGAAAGAGTGATGATGACTTCAAAAACAAATAAAACATATTTATATATTTATATGTATGTACAAAAAAGTAGGTATAAGTAGAACAACATGTGAACAGTTGTTTCTGGGTCATGAGATTATAAGTGATTATTTATTTATTTTGCTATTTTTTTAATATTTTTTTGAATTTTCTTCCATAAACATGTAGACCTTTGAAAGCAGGAATAAAAAGTTTACTGGATATAATAAGATTTTCCAACATCTTTCCACAGAAGATCACTTAGATCTTCTGTGCCCCTTCTCAAATAAAAATGAATGGGGTCAATAGAAGGGTCAGTTGTACAGTTAAACCAGGATATCCAAAAAGAATTTCATCCATTTGAACTACTTTATCATTGATTTTGTTTCTCCCCCAGAGGAAACATTTTTGCTTGCATTCAGAGCTGACATATGAACCTAAATAAAGGAAAAAGGTGTTAAAAAACAATTTGACCAAAAACCCATTGCCTTTGATGGTAGTGGATGTAGGAGGTGGTAAGGGAGAAGTAAAAAATGATTGAAGGTGAGGGCAAAGTTTGTGGCTTCCATGGTATTATTTACAGCGCTTGGGAGAGGAGGAATGCTAATCACTAGGGCATGTGGATTTGAGTCAAGGGTAAATACTGGGGTAGTGGACAGAAAGTGTGGCCCTGCCACTAAAGAGGTGTGCTCTACTATAGAAAATAGTACAAACAACTTAAATATACTTATATAATCTGTGTGGGGTTTTTTGGTCATCAACATTTGACAGGAAGTTCCAGATTGTAATTCTTCTTTCTGAATGTTGGATTAGGAAATGCATCAACTACCACAACTGTGATCGACAGCAAAAATGGATCGGTGCCCAAATCCCCTGGAAAAGTGCTGAAGAGGACAGTCACAGAGGACATAGTGACAACATTCAGCTCCCCAGCAGCCTGGCTTCTAGTCATTGCTCTGATAATCACATGGTCAGCTGTTGCTGTTGTTATGTTTGACCTAGTGGATTACAAAAACTTTTCAGGTAAGATACATGAAATGTGGGTATTGCGTGAAAAGAAGCAATGTCCTTCCCTCCCGTCTTCATTTCTTTTCATCTCACCTTCGTGTGAGAAATAAAGCGCCCCACAAACTGTCTGCGTGTCAGTGAAATCTGGTTTCCTTCTTCCCCATTTCCTTCTATTCTTCTTTGCCTGTTGTAGTCAGTGATTTCAAACGAAATATATTTCCATATTTGTAATGCCAAACACAAGCTGAATGTTGTTTCCTGAAGATAATGATTAAAAAGTTTTTCATTTGGAGATTTGGTTTGGGAACAGGGACTTTATCAATTTAAAACCAAACCAAACCAAACAAAAAACTTTTGGACAAGTGGGAAGTTGTGTAAAGCATTTTTAAGTCCCTCTACCATCTGGCTCCAAGCTTCCTTTCCAGACGTTCTCTTTGCTCCTCCCATCAAAACATCCTATTTTGAGTTCTTGAAAATAAAGAGTGTGAAAAGGATTTTCCCAGAATTACTTGTAATGAGATACTACATCTTGAGTGGCCATGTGTTCTTACGGGTTTGGAGTAAAACAGGAATAATGCAAGTGAGGAAAGACAGATTTTCATTATGGCCCTATTCAATCTTTGAGTATACTGTTTATCTCTTTGTTCAAGGTATTTTAACACTTTTAAAATTATATTTGTCTATTTCCACATCTGACATGCTCTATTGACTGTGAGCTCCTTAAAGGAAGGACTCGGTCAGGTGTGTAATAAATATTAAATAGATGAATAAATGTATCTTTTTTACCATAAGAAAAACCATTTCATTAAGCTCTTAATGTGCTCCTACATATTTGCACCATTCACCCCCACCCCCACTTCCCATTTTCTTTCTCCAATGGGAGTGGAATCAGTAGGAACCAGAAACTATAAAGACTGTAAGTTGCATTCTGTACAGTCATGGATCCTCAACTTCTTTATTTTTTTAAAGATTTTATTTATTTGACAGAGAGAGACACAGCGAGAGAGGGAACACAAGCAGGGAGAGTGGGAGAGGGAGAAGCAGGGTTCCTGTGGAGCAGGGAGCCTGACGCGGGGCTCGATCCCAGGACCCAGGGATCATGACCTGAGCGAAGGCAGACGCTTAATGACTGAGCCACCCAGGCACCCCTCCTCTACTTCTTATTATGGTATTATACTCAATCAGCAATTATTTATCAAGAACCTACTATATGTCCCAAGCAATGGCTACACTGAAAGAAATACAAGTATAAATATTGCAAAGTCATAGAACTGGATCATTTGGGTTTATTGACATGGCGGTGTGATTGAGATGATTCTTCCTGCAGTACCATTGGGAGCTGTGCTAAAGTGAACATTATCTAACAGGTAGAGATAAGTCCCATGATGTCAATGAAAGAAAAACACTATCCAGAACTGTGAACCTCTTCTCTAAATAAGTAATACTTTGTGTATACTGTGTAATGGAGGCTTTTGAAAGGATATACAATTGAAATGTCTATAATATAAAATTACGACCTAGAGTTTTAAGTGAAAACTTGGTTATATGACTCTAGATGATTTTATTTCCCTTGAGCCTATATCAATGGTGATATTTTGTCTATTCTTTCCTTTTCTAGCATTTCATTCACTTACATTTTGGAACCAAATATGATTGTAAAATACTGTCTTTAAGTTTTACAAGAGATATATTTTAAGAATTCCTTATAAATTTCATATTTATGAAGTTAATAATTTAATAAATACACCACAGAAATCACTATTGCAAGGAATTTGTTCTTAATTATTTTATAAAATGAGTAGCTACCTGTAATTAGACTTTCAGATTAGATTACTTAAATGTAAGACATACTTACAGTCCATGGTAGAGCTTCCTTGGACTACTGTAATTAGGTGTTATTGATAATGCCTATGTTACTGGTATTTCATCTCACGGGGGAAAAAAATAGCCTCTGTATTACTGCTACTTCATTTCTTTTTTCAAGGAGTGTTTATTAGGCACATCTTCTGTGTGAGGCCTCCTCCACCAGTTTCCTATATTTATTAGTGACCTAACCATCTATCCATTCCCCACAAAAAGAAACCTGCAAGTCATCTTTTAAGTCTGCTGGACACGATCAATCACCATGCTGGATGCCAGCTAACTCTCATATGTCTCATGAATCCCCTCCCTTCTCTGGTTACCACTGTCTCCATTATTACATGTCAGACCCTGATTCTCTGTTGAGGGCACTAATGCAATTTCTTCTTGCCTCCCTCTTCCAGTGTCTCCCCTTAACTGTTGCTCCAAAGGTATCTTCATAAAACATAAATTTCACCAAGTATTTCCTATTGCCAAAGTATAAATTCCTTGGCATGAAACTCAAGTCCTTGGCTTAGCTCTCTCTTTTCATCTTGTAATTCAGCTCATGCAACCTGATTTCCAGCCATCCTTACTATTGCTTTTCCCTGCTTTCTTTCCCTAGGAACACATATATTCTCACTTTTCCTTGCCTCTGCTCATACCATCCTCTGCCCACCCCCCCACCCCCCAACCAGAAAGTGTAGTAAATTGGTTAAAAATGTGAACTCTGGTGCTGGGTTTCCCTGGTATTAAATCCAGATCTTACAACTTCCTACCTGTGTGGTATTGGGTAAATCATTTAGCCTCTCTTTGCCTCAGTTTCATCATCTATAAAGTGGGGACAATAATAGTAGTTATGTAATAAAATTGTGAGGAGAATTATATAAGTGAATATATTTGAAGTGCTTAGAACAGAACTTGCTTTATCACAAGCACTGCATAAATATTAATATCACTAATAAAGATTCATTCCTCCATTTTCTTGAAGGATGAATTCATCCTTTAAGACTTACTCCCTTTTTTGGTGAAACAGTCTCAGATTTCCTAAGAAAAGTTCACTGCACTGTGATTTCATTCCCTTAGTACCTTATGGGTAGCTGTATTCACCGCAGTTAACACACTGTATTATCAGTATCTTTTTACTTGTCTGTTTCACTCAGTAACTTAAACTTATATGAGGAAGGGACTGTCTTATTCACCTGTCCATGAGTGCCTGTCATGTAGTAAGTTTTCTGCTATCCATTTCTTACAGGATACATAATGTTGACATTTTGATTTTGAATAATTTCTTACATTATGAAGAAAAAATATCATAAAATTTTTATTTCATCCATTTTTTGACCAACTCTAAAAATTAATACATTTATAAAATCAGAATTAAAAATAATAAAATATGTTTATAAGATGAAATGTTACTTGTCATATTTTGTAATGGTCATCCATTGCTACATAATAAATTACTTCAAAAATAAGTGTTTTAAAACAACAATAAACGTTTATTATGCCAAACAGTTTTTGCAGGTCAGGAGTTTGGGAAAGGCTTATATCTTGTGGTTGCAATAAAGAAGTTGGCTGGTGATGTGGTGATGTAGACATCTGAAAGATTTTCTGTGGTAGTGGAACCATTGGCAAGATGTCTCATTCATTTGGCTGTCAAGTTAATGCTGGTGTGTCTTCACAACATGGCAACTGGCTGCTCTCAGATCCAAGAGAACAAGGCAGAAACCACAAAACGTCTTATGATCTAGACTTGAAAATCACATATAGTCAGTTTTGCAAAATCCTTTTGGTTATGCAGGTCAACCCTATTTGTTGTCCTAAGAGACTACATAATGGTGTGAATACCAGCAGGCAGTGATCATTAGGGGCCAATTTGAAGGCTGGCCACCACCTCTTCTACCCTTAGGAAATTATTTTACCAAGCTATACAGCTTTAGATAAATACTTAGATATAAGGAAATGCCATACAATACTCTAGCAGACAAAAAGTTATTGTAATTACAATAGGTGCAAAAAGAAAGATGATATATTGGAATGACTGGCATCATGAGATCACATCTAGGAAGATAAATGTCCAGTGAATTTGAAATGAAAAAAAAATCACAAAGCTGAAATTCTAAAGAACACATATATAAATTCTTCAAATAAGAAGTGCAAATACTTTTTGCTAATTCAGGTTTGAATGTGCAATTTCTGAAACCAAAATAATGTAAGTTCAAAGACTGTATGATTACAGCATAAAACCTGTAACTCATATTAACCGTTGGTTGCATGGGATATATACACTCATATTAAAATTTTAATTTCTTTTCTCCACTTAGTAAATTCTAACTTGCCTTTCTTATGTTGATTCTTCACAGAAAAAATAATCATTTGCTTCAATAAGAGTGTCAAAATGTAAATGGTACTCTTATGTTATAATGTTATTTTTAATTGATATATTTCAAATATTTACTAAGGTTTAATATTATTATGATGAGTCTTTTGCATTACATAATGTCTTTGAAATATGTATTGTTAATACAAGGCTAGTGATAAGAGAAAGCATACTGGGAATAACTCTGAAGACCAGAGAGGGCAGCTGTCCCTGGGCTCTAAATTACTCTCTGGCACTTTAGAAAAGTAGGTAAACACTTTTAAGTCATTATGAAATTGTTCATAGAGAATAAGTGAATACTGTACTGGATCGAGAATAATGATTCTCTTCTAGGCAAACTTCACACTTCCTAATTTTCTGAATTTGATATTATGTACCCAAATAATCTACCTGTGAGGCATATGTAGAATTGGCTTTTATGTGCTTCTTTCAGAAGACTTGAGTTCATTCTACAGCTCTATAACCTACAAGCTAACATGACTAGGAACTTAGTGTCCTTGCCTGTCAAATGGGAATAGCCCCTTGCTTTCTGGTCAGCAAAATTTGTGACTTTGCTTCTTCCTATCAAATGAGACAAATTTTAGGACATCAACAAACAAACAAACAAGAAGAAACACCAAAACCAGATACTAGAAAAGAGATTTCACCTACCCTTCATTTCTTCCTAAAAATAAAGTTCAAACACTATCCAAAAATAATATGGTATATCTGTCAGAATTTGATCAGAGTAGAGTTACTATGAGTGATATAGAATAGAAGATTTAATATATGGCTTATGCATTCATGAGAGTTGATT